GGGAACTTTGTTACTCTTTGAAAGGGATACTGTGGACACTCTGAAGAAGTATTGTTGACTCTCTGAAAGGAAAATTTGTGACTCTTTGAAGAAATATCGTTGACTCTTTGAAAGGGATAATGTGGACTCTCTGAAACTGATATCCAGGACTCTTTGAACGAAATACAGAAGGTTACCCGAAAATGATACTGTGAAAAAGGGTTTATGGGTTCAACCAAATTAGATATGTGGACTCTCTGAAAGAGAAACCAAGTTGAAAAAATCAATAATTGTTGAAAATGGATATCGAGGCTTATATACAGTCTGTCATCACCGGTACCGAATACAAAATAGCCCTGGGGAGAATTCGACATAACCATCAGGTACGTGACCTACTTTTTACGCATGTGCATATTTCACGCATGTGCATATATGCTAAATCATTTTATTGCACGTAAAAAATGACTTGCATTCCATTAGCATATCGATATGTTCCGATGGAGGTTTCGATTATAATGATGAATGATCAATGTACAGCTGAATGCACGTGTAGATGTCATGTGACATCACGTGATATTAGCATGTGCTTTGCTCGTCAAATCTATATTCATTAGCATATCGGTATGTTCCGATGGAGGTTTCGATTATAATGATGAATGATCAATGTACAGCTGAATGCACGTGTATATGTCATGTGACATCACGTGATATTAGCCTGTGCTTTGCTCGTCAAATGCACGTACGAGAATCACATTTTCATCAGCCCGAGCTTGTGATATTATGATATGTAATTTTTTTTATCGCCGTTGGATCAATTTGGTGTATGCGACTCATTCTAAGATCTGAAGACATTCTTATTCAAATTGAGTTCAGTGATTTCAACCAATCAAAACTATTGTTAAAAGAATACAAGTCAGTGTTCAATAATAAGTTTCGATCAAACTCCATAAAGCATTTTTGGAACAGATCATTTGATTGGATGAATGGAGTAGTAGTTGTCATTTCTGAAACTAGATGCATTGATGAGGATCTTGTATCCGAAACTCTAGTCAATTACGATGGAAATAAATGACAAAGCCGGGTGTTATTAGTAATATAAGGAAATTCAAAAAAAATATTTCAATTTAACCCTAACTATTTAAGGATATATATAAACATTCTTGAGACGTACAGTCACTTGAAAGACATGAAGATTTATGAGGTGATGACGTCACAAGGGGGATTTCCAATATTGTGTGTCGGACGTGTCTGAACGGTCAAACATGTGTCTTAAATGTCAACAATGACAAGCCAATGTCAACTATGTCTTGTCGAGAGGTCTTACGTCGTATGAAAGAGCAATTGTCTGTCATAGGCCGTAATAGCTTTCGATTTTGATGAAATGAAACGGAGCTTTACTTCCGGCTTTTCTGTACCAGTTTAGGCTAATGAAGATGGGGCTTCGTAGCAGTATGCAATGGGGGAAATTTTGTCAGGTCATTAGTGTTGGGTGTTATAGAAGATTTAAAGAGGGAATATTTTGCAAAGATCGCATTCGCCTACTCGTATTTGATTTCCCACTACCGAGAGAACTTTAACGTGTACTGCAAATCACGCCAAAACAAATTTCAATTTTGACTCGTTAGGAACTTAAACCAAATCCGCCTTAATTCTTTATTTACGTTCAACGAATCAAAACATTAGACATTAGCGGTCTTAATTAAATTATACATAAACAGTTAAATTACTTCTTCAATCAAGCCTAACACGCCAAAAGTATCATCTTGACAGCTATAGCTTGATTAACTGCGAGTTTATTTTGGCTGGAATTGTCATCAATTTAGTAACTATTCAATTAAGTTTCACTGCTTAACACGCCAAAAGTATCATCTTGACAATCATGCTTTAATGGATCTTAAATATATTTTGGCTGGATTTTCTTTTAATAAGTAATTATCCAATTAAGTTTAACAACTGGACACGCCAAAAGTATCATCACAACAGCAAGTATTTGATGAAACATAGTATATTTTGGTAGGATTGGCGGTAAATAAGTTATCATGCAAATAAGCTTAACTGCGAAACACGCCAAAATAATCATTTCATCAACAAGTATTTAATTACCACGAGTATATTTTGGTAGGATTGGCGGTTTACAAACAAGTCGGTATACATACCATAACATCTGACGTATATAAGAGAATTTAGATTTATAACTTTAAGTTATTTACGTTATAAGTGCTTCATAAGTGAAATAAATTTTCATATTTTATAATGTGTTTTTGTGAAGGTCGACGTTCACAGGACTGGTGTTCAGATTTATACTTAGCTGTACCTCTATTGTGTTCACATAACTAAATATTTCTATATGAAAATGGTTATAAGTTATATGAAAGTATGATTTTGTGAAGAATTGTGTTCATACTTGAAATATTTGTATGAAAGTACGTTTTAAGAGCTTCAGTTTTGGAGTGGATTTGTTTTTAAAGTGGATTTGTTTTTAAATGGATTTTTTAATCATTAGAGCGGATTTGTTTTTGTTTTTTTTTTTTTTTTTTTCATTTGTGGATTTGTTTTTGAAGTAGATTTGTTTTTAAAAAAAAAATGAATTTGTTTTTGGAATTGATCATTCTATAATGAATTTGTGGATTTGTTTTTAAGTGAACAATTTTTGTTTCTTTAACAATGAATTTGTTTTTGAAGTGATTTTGTTTTGGAAGTGATTTTGTTTTGGAAGTGATTTTGTTTTTGAAGTGATTTTGTTTTGATTATTATAGTGTAAATTGTTATCTTTAAAGTGGGATAGTATATTATTATCAACAGTGTGGCCTACATTGATTTCCGGCTCCCTATCTTTAAATATATCAAATATTTATCATTTAAGGATACGATTTTAAGCAAAATCATGGCAAATTAGGATCGTTGTATATTTTAGTAATCGATCGAAACGTCATCATAATTTCGATGCAATTGTGAAATAAAATTTATTTTTAGGCCGATTGGATTTAGGAATTTCAAACGGAATATATCACAAACGGATTACAATTGAAGATATACCATTCTGAAACGTGGATTAAGTTATATATAACAGGTTTAGAAATACCATTGCATATATATCAGTCCAATACGTGAATACCGCTGGTCATTATAAAGTTATAAACAACCAGAAGGCTTACAACGTGGTACAGACTTATAACGTATATAACGTTAAATAGCCAAAAAGTATTACAACGTTATAACGTATATAACGTTATAATATAAACAAAAAGGCTTACAACGTGGTGCAGGCTTATAACGTATATAACGTTATATAACGGAACGTGGTACAGACTTATAACGTATATAACGTTATATAAACAAAAAGGCTTACAACGTGGTGCAGGCTTATAACGTATATAACGTTATATAACAAAAAAAGGGATTACCAAGTGTTCCTACGCAAAGTTATAAATAGTAAACAGGATAACAATATTTTGCGGAGTGTCACAGAGATAATTAGGTTATACCATACATCAATTGGTTATATATCATTTGGTTATATCTATTTATGAATACGGACGACGAAAATATCATAAACGTAAGTTGCAAGTTATTTTTTACTGATTCCTTATAACTTTATGTATATTAACCATTAGAAATGAAATGCATCCAAATGTATCAAGGGCTTGTTTCTATAACTGACTCGGTACACCTTTGTTAAATCAAAAGAACATAACCAGTGCAGTTTTGCTACACACTCGTTTAATTGCGTACAGCTGAACACGTTACTAATGATCTTAATTAAAAATAACATGAAACGAGTTCATTAAGAAATCTAGCGAGCTTTAAAGGGATGGTAGAGAGGTTTTCAAAATATTTTTTGGAACCATTTATTGTTTCGAATTTTTTGTCAGATGTCCGTCATTACAAGTTTAGTTTTAGTGGAATTGCAGGAACCACAGACGCCTGATTGAAAATTAGAATGATGTAAATTGATGCTTTCAGTGTCCCTGATACACATGAAAAATTAAGAAAATCTCTTTACAATCCCTTTAATATTATTTTCAATCACATAATCTACGGAGCTTAAAAATAGATCATTTGAAGCTTTCTCTCAAAGATGGTACCATAATTAATGGCATATTTAACAAATCTAATTTTCTTGCCTTATCAAAGGGAATGTAAAGAGGTTTTCTAAAAAAAATTATGTGTACACTGATGTACAAATAGCTGAAATTGAGCTCTATCAGGTGGTAAAGTAAATATTTAGAAGACTATACAGATAACTGAAATCGAGCTCTATCAGCTGGTAAAGTAAATATTTAGATGACTATACAGATAGCTGAAATTGAGCTCTATCAGCTGGTATAGTAAATATTTAGATGATTATACATATAGCTGAAATTGAGCTCTGTCAGTTGGTAAAGTAAATAATTAGATGACTACAGATAGCTGAAATTGAGCTCTATCAGCTGGTATAGTAAATATTTAGATGATTATACAGATAGTTGAAATAGAGCTCTATCGGCTGGTAAAGTAAATATTTAGACAACTATACAGATAGCTGAAATTGAGCTCTATCAGCTGGTAAAGTAAATATTTAGACCACTATACAGATAGCTGAAATTGAGCTCTATCAGCTGGTAAAGTAAATATTTAGATGACTATACAGACAGCTGAAATTGAGCTCGCAAAGCAAAATATCAACACGACTAGACCCCTTTAAAGGTCAAGGTCGGAAGTCTCGGAAACAAAGGGAGTATAGTTCTTAGAACTGTGCCTTGTTTCGAGTGCATTCGATTGGTTCATCAGACTCAGTTCTCAAAGTAGGCGTTTCCGCGACACTATTTCCGTTTTCTGTGTGAATTATTCTCCTTGGACGAATGAATGAATGAGTGAGAGAAAAATGGATAACAGCACAAATTGTTAATGAATGTTTGAGTGAATAAAAAGCACGGATAAAGGTCGCAACAGACGGATGCATCTGTTATCTTAAATGAAATGAAGTTTTACGTCGCACTTTTGTGCTTCAGTTTGGACAATTAATGAAGACGGATAACATCATGCAGTAAGCAATGAGGGGAAATCAGTGGCATTAGTCTAACCTACTCGAGGGGTCTGCAGCATGTGCAATCTTTTTCATAAGAAAATTGAACAAAAACCCAAAACAACTAAGATTCATTGGTTGCAGTAATTAACAGGCAAGGACCCAAAATGTCTCCCTGAGCCACTACGTAAGAGAAGTATTGTTTTGCTCCGGAAAGAATCAGTGGAGTAAACCACTGGAAAAACTGAAACCAAATTAAAGAACGTGAACATTTTTGACCCTGGATTTTGGAGAATGCACATTGACTCCTTTTATAATTTCACTTTGGATTTTGGAGGGTACACAATGACTCCATCTATAATTTCATATTAGGTTTTGGAGAGTAGACATATCTTATTCCCTCAAAATTTCTCAGCATTAAATTCCAGAAGTAGGTCAAGGGGAAATTTCCTTTCATGTTTATAACCTCATTCGACTTCATATAACCTGTTATAACTTAATAACTTACCCCATCTTAATCTAATAATGATAAACCACAAGTATTTCAGTTTACATTGCATAAATATCACTAAGTTATTATGTTATTTCAATTCATATGTTCACAGATTTTGAAAAAATAACTTAAAGGGACAGTTGCGCCTTTTTTCAGAGGTTGATTTGAGGCTTGAATATATGTAGATAGTCTTCAGAAGTTCTAAAATGTACGAAAATCACATAATTCCTTTAAAAATATCTCAAACTAGGAATTTTACTCACTATTTCTACAGATGTCTTTTCTATATATCACAGTGTCTCAAAAAAAAAATTTATATAACTTTATAACCAATAAAATCACCACTTTATAAAAACTATCCATTTTATAACTTAATATAACTTATAACATTCTCCACAAAATAACAACTTTATAACTGAATATAACTTATAACTGAATATAACTTTACAACTCAAAACATTCTCCACTTCAAAACAAAAATAACAACTTTATAACTGAATATAACTTTATATAACTGAATATAACTTTACAACCCAAGATATCTAATAGTTTATAAACTTTATAACTTAACATAACTTATAACTTAATATAACTTAATATAACATCCAATACAAAAATATCAAGTACTTTATCTCGATCTGTATCGATATCACTTGTATTTGTTCTTCGCATTAAAATCTCAAAATGAGTGTAATCTTTTGACCTCTAATACCACACAAGATAACAGTAAGACAAGACTATCTATTCTTGATAATCGGGACAGATGGCCGAAAACAGAAATGGGATAGAGTTAAAGTTCTTTTCAGTAAGTTTACAAGCTTATAAGTGTCTTGGATAGACGTTGACAAATTTTAGATCCACCACCATGAATTATGAGGCTTCAACTATTTTGAATTGATTCTGGATAGATGTTGACAATTTTAGAAGCTTCAACTATTTTGAATTGATTCTGGATAGATGTTGACATTTTTAGAGGCTTCAACTATTTTGAATTGATTCAGGATAGATGTTGACAATTTTAGAGCTTCAACTATTTTGAATTGATTCAGGATAGATGTTGACAATTTTAGAAGCTTCAACTGTTTTGAATTGATTCAGGATAGATGTTGACATTTTTAGAGGCTTCAACTATTTTGGATTTGATTCTGGATAGATGTTAACAATTTCAGATCTACTAAATTTTTAAGCTTCAACTATTTTGGATTGATTCAGGATAGATGTTGACTGACTTAAAGATCAATTGCAATAAATTTCTAGGCTTCAACTATTTTGAATTGGTTCAGGATAGATGTTAACTGACTTCAGTTCTACTCCAATAAATTTTGAATTGATTTCGATCCCAAAAGCGTTGACTTATTCTGGTATTCTCGCAAAATTTCCCTCATTGCGGACTGTACGACGTTGTCCCCCTCCAATGCCCACTTTGGAGCAGAAATTGAATGGTAAAACTCCATTTCGTTTAAGTATTAGATTTAAAAAAAAATTCCAGAGGTCGGGGACGTAAAACTCTTTTTATTTTCAGCAAGGTAATAAATGCGACTTTAATAGTATTATTGTCGGAACGTGACGAAAACACGTTTAACAACCTCTATCTTGTCAGAAACCAGTCGACACCCATTTTATTGTTTTTAAATTCAGATTGTGACGTGATTAATGCACCGAGGTTTATCACTGATGCAATCCTATGCATTAATTAAAGTTAACAGCCAACATTACAAAAATTGTGTAAACAGAATTACAAACTTGTATAAACAATTACAAAAACTGTATTTACAGAATTACAAACTTGTATAAACAATTACAAAAACTGTATTTACAGAATTACAAACTTGTATAAACAAAATTATAAAAATTGTATTTACAGAATTACAAACTTGTATAAACAAAATTACAAAATTGTATTTACAGAATTACAAACTTGTATAAACAAAATTACAAAAACTGTATTTACAGAATTACAAACTTGTATAAACAAAACTACAAATACTGTATTTACAGAATTATAAACTTGTATAAACAAAATTACAAAAACTGTATTTACAGAATTACAAACTTGTATAAACAAAATTACAAAAACTGTATTTACAGAATTACAAACTTGTTTAAACAAAATTACAAAAGTTGTATTTACAGAATTACAAACTTGTATAAACAAAATTACAAATACTGTATTTACAGAATTATAAACTTGTATAAACAAAATTACAAAAGTTGTATTTACAGAATTACAAACTTGTATAAACAAAATTACAATAACTGTATTTACAGAATTACAAACTTGTATAAACGAAATTACAAAAGTTGTATTTACAAAATTTAAATCTGAACAAATTACAAAATTAAAGCACCTAAATTGGATGTTACACTAAAGCAACAAAATTTTACAGAAAGAATTCCATAATTTATCAGAAAATTTAAAATATCACTATCAAATGACCAAGAAAATTAACCAACCAATCAAAAAAATTTTACAAGCAAAACTACAAAAATTTACCATTAAAATAGCAAAATTTTACCAGCAAAATTACAAAGATCTACAAGCATAATTTTACCAACAAGTTTACCAAATTTTACCAGCGAAATTACCAAATTTAACCAGCAAAATTACCAAATTTAACCGGCAAAATTACCAAATTCAACCAGCAAAATTACCAAATTTAACCAGCAAAATTACAAACTTTTACAAGAATATTTTCACAAACAAATTTAAAACATTTTAGCAGCAAAATTATAAAATTTTACCAGCAAAATTACAAACTTTTACCAGCAAAATTACAAACTTTTACCAGCAAAATTACAAAGTTTTACCAGCAAAATTACAAACTTTTACATGC